CCCCCCCCCCCCCTTCTCTGCGCTGGCCCCTCAGAGCAGGAATTCCTTCCACTTCACCCCAAAGGCCTCGATGGCGACAGAAGTTTGCGCTTCCATCTCCTTGATTATGACTGGGACACATCAACTCATCAGCACCCTCACAAATAGGCATTCTTAGCAAAGCTTTCTTTAATTATTTATTTTGTCATCCAGTTTATTTCTGTATATATGATAATGGTCTGCGCCATACCAGTCCTCTGAGCCAGTCCATCCGTTTGTTGCTTCGCTGAGAAGTTTCCATGATTCTGTTGACCATGACTCAAAGGATCCTCTATTTAGGAGGTTCCTAACATATGGTGTTTCAAGGTTGGAAATGGAGCACAATGATGCAGTTTGCGCAGCGGCATGAGAACAGTCATCCTTTTTCTTTGATTATATTGTTTGTAAGATTGTGACGAGCCAAAAATCAGGATTCCTTTTTGATGAATTGCCCAGCCCTATTGATTTAGTCTCTATTTACTTATTGTTTAGTTGAACACGAAGCTTAGCTTAGCATAGAAAGATGAACAAAGCTACATTATTATTGTTTGTAGTGAAAAAAAAATAAAAAAATCCATTCAGTGAAATTGGATAATTATTGTGCCATGATACAGTGATTGGAAATCACTGGGTTCATGAAAGAGTACAGCACGTTCTCAACTTCTGACTTGCGTACAATGGTGCTGGCTGTCGTTAACCGGTGACCCCCTATAAATGATATACCGGTATGGCCTCAAATACAATTATATCCTCCACTCTGGGAGGTGCCATGTGTCAATTTAATTGCAGAGTGTACCATCCAGTTAAATAAATAAGGATCTCACTTCAAATCAAAGCCTGCCCCCCCCCCCTCCTCATCCATGCTGCCAATTTCTGTATATTTCCAAATTGATACTTCATTCACCCCAAAAGGGAATTTATTGAGAGGAACCAAAAATACGTGGACACACAAATAGAAACAGCTAATGGGTGAGAGTTCAATGGTCTCATTCTCTTTGCAAAACGGTAACAATTCTTGCCCCGTCTGTCTATAATACTGACATAAATGATTGTAAGTAAAGAATCAATTCTGGCACAATTTCAGAAAATAATTTCCTCACATTATATTTAATTTTTATTGTTTTCATATTTGCGCTAATTGACTTGTAGAAATCAGTATTCTACTGTCTTAGAGTGAGACCCGTAATTTAAAGTTACCAAAGATGTTTTCTTGTGTTATATAAAAGGTTGTGGTTGGGGTCTTTTTGATAGATGCCCTTGAACCACCAACTGTTCAGTAAAGCGTTACACAGAAAAATCCCGACAGTCTTTTGGGTTAAAATGTAGTGGAAGGCCACCCCATTATCCAGGTTGGACGGATTTGATTAAACCATCCGTAACTCTTCACCGGTTGCTTATGTGGGTTAAATATACAGTATGCAGTCCAACTGGAAGCAGACGTCATGATTATATAAAGGTATTCACTCACTGGAGGTTAAAAACTTTATTGATGGTCTGTTTAAGGATGATCTTTTTCTTTCAAAATCTTTCAGAATAAAACCAAAGAAAGTATGATTCAAAGGAACAATGTAAATTTGGGACTACAGCGGCTTGAACTGAATATTTGCTTCCTCCTTTTGAAGATTTAGAGCTAAACCGTGACTTTAACGGTGAGGACTATGAGTACGAGGACGAGGCCAAGCTTGTTATATTTCCAGACCACTTCGAGATCGCCTTACCAAATATTGAGGAGTTACCCGCTCTGGTCAGTGAATTATGTGTGTTGTCATGCATGTCAACAGGAAGGGTGCACTCAGTGGATATCTTTTTTTTTTCTTCCCCCACTGAGTGAGTGTTTATTCTAAAATGTCGACAGTGTCATGGTATCACAGGCTTTGTCGGCTGCCTTGAGTTACAGTATGTGAACACAAGCACTGGGGGAACGACACTGAATGTGCATGCCCTCAACTGCCATAACATTAGGTACACCTGCTGTGTGCAACTGCATCCAATACAAGAGCTGTAGCAATAATTCTGCCTTCACAGATTTCATTTCAAATGTTTTAATTGAGGGTTATTAAGAACGTGCTTATTGCTGTGGTTGTTCACGGCGGCGTACAAGTGTACTCCAGTATACGGAGATATTTTTAATACTAATTCGATGAAGGGGTTAATAAACGTGAAATACTGCAAACTCATTCTTGTCTTTGGAAAGGCAATCTTTTTGATTGCTCTTGTACTACTGATCACATGAAATTGTACTCGTGTACCTAATGAAGTGGCCTGCTTTGGTGATTTGCATGCACGGAGAATGGAGTCAGATTTTGAATGTCTTGCATGTTTTTGTTTGTGGTCGAACGCATCTGGTTTTGCTGTTATGAGCCTTCAACACATCTATCTTTTCGTTGCACATGTTTTTATGTTTTGCTGTTCTTCACAGCAGCAATATGTCCTGTTTAAGTAACAAGGTGATGTGTACAGTACTTAATAACGGGGCGTCACCTCTCCTCCGGTCCATTCAGGTAACCATCGCCTGTGATGCCGTGCTCAATGCGCCGTCGGCCTACAAAAAGCAGGAGCCTGAATCCTGGGAGGTGGAGATCCAGGTATCCAGACACGCCAGAAGCCTCAGACAGTTGGACAATGGAGTCCGAATCCCCCCAAGGTAGGACAACCTCCAAACCACATTCAGGGATTCATGGGATCTTGTCTATCTTTCGAGCCCTCATATTTTCTAAAAATGTTGTCCTTTTCAGTGGTGGAGAATATAAGTTCCTTTCAAGTATTGTAAACCAAAATCGAGAGTTCAAACAATTTACCGGAAATTGCTGCTACTTGTGATCAGGACATCATGTCTTTGTCTTATGACATAGTGATGCAGCATGTGGTTCATTGCGCAAGGTTATTCCGGTACACTGTGTTCCAAATGACCGTATTGTTTGTGGTCACCGGGCGGCTCAGGTTTAGTGTGCGACAACACGTCGGTAACCATACACCAAAGATAACAGTAGTTTCTTACCTCAGTTTGCTATGTGAGCCGTTGTATTGATTTATTTTTACATTGGTGTATTGTAGTCTTGTGATGGCACAGTACACCAAAAGTATGCACATCTGCCTTGCAGTTCTGAAAATTAGTGGTTGAATTCCAGTGGGGAGTTGACATTGTTGTATTAATTTTATCCGGGTACTCTGGCTTCCTTCCGCTTCCCCAAAACATGCATGTTAGGTTTATTGAAGACTAAATTGTCCATAGGTGTGAACGTGACTATGATTCCCTGCGATTGGCTGCCAACCAGGCCCTGGGTGTACCCCAACTCTCGCCCAAAGTTACCTGGGATAGCCTCGAGCTGACCTTCAACCCAAATGAGGACAAAGGCTAAAAAAAATGGGCAGATTGACTATGACTGCTGGATGGAAACAGAGTAAAATGGATATGGCATTGGATCGTCATTCTTGCATTTTTATTGACATACTGGTAATTTCCTGTCTGTTGGGATTTTGAAATTAGTTTTTGCGCATTTTTTTTTTTAAATTTAAACAAACAACAATCTAGTTAATTGAATGGCAACACAACAGTGACGGCAATGTCATTCCCCGTCGGCAGTGGCTGGAAGTGTCAGAAGTGTGAAATGAGAGAGAACCTGTGGCTGAACCTGACGGATGGCACCATGCTCTGCGGGAAGTGGTTTTTTGATGGCAGCGGTGGGAACGGACACGCTCTGGACCACTACAAAGAGACCAAACACCCGCTGGCTGTCAAATTGGACACCATCACCCCAGATGGAGCAGGTGTGGTATTACTGATGTCACAGTTTGCTCTCTCTCATCCAATATAGAACAGTGTCTCGTCTGTTATTTAATTTGGTGTAACACCCCCCCCCCCCCAACCCTCAGCACGTCACAACCCTCACACATTAGCTGCAGTGCCTCTTAAACCTTTTACAGTACCACCTAAAAATGACAAAGCTTTCCAAGAACCACCGTCATGACCATCATTAAAATAGAGTCAGCAATAAATCAACTCGGAAAGTAAAAATTCACATTTCCGCTTATTTTCACTAGATTACTGATAAATGGTCTTAAATATGGAGCAGAAGATTGTCAGAAACAAAAAATTATTTGAGAATAAAATTAAAATTAGCAGAAAAAAATTTACTTGCGCTGTCTGAAATTTTAGGGGCAAAATGCCACAATTTAGCTGTAATAGACAATATAGTGGAGCCTCTCATTTCGAACATGAGCCATTTTTTCCAGGAAATTAAAGGAGGAATATTATGTTTAGGAAGTGAGTTGCCCCACATAAAAGCCCATTTTACGCTGCCTGAAAAAAAAAATCGCTCTTCTGTTATACGGCACTGACACAAAATGGCAGAGTTTACAGAAAATCTTGGTCCGTCTGAATTCTGGGATTTTGGAGGTTCCACCGCATTGACGAAGTGATCTCCTGGTTTCAGATGTGTATTCATTTGAGGAAGAAGAAGCCGTTTTAGACCCGCACATATCGGAACACCTCTCCCACTTTGGAATAGACATGCTACAGATGCAGAAAAAAGTAAGTCCTCATGGCTTTGTTACACACCCACACAACAGACACACACACACACACACACACACACACACACACATTCTGACTGCATATGAAATTCTGAAAGGTGTGCCTTTGCTGCCCCTTCAGACAGAGAATGGCCACCACACAGACAATAATGCCCGACCACGGGTCAGTGAGTGGGAGGTGATCCAGGAGTCGGGCATGAAACTGAAAGCGGTGTACGGTTCTGGTTACACGGGCATCAAAAACCTCGGCCACAGCTGCTACCTCAGCACAGTCATGCAGGTCCTCTTCAGCATCCCAGACTTCCAGAGGATGTGCCACACACACACACACACACACACACACACACACACACACACACACACACACACACACACACACACACATTCTGACTGCATATGAAATTCTGAAAGGTGTGCCTTTGCTGCCCCTTCAGACAGAGAATGGCCACCACACAGACAATAATGCCCGACCACGGGTCAGTGAGTGGGAGGTGATCCAGGAGTCGGGCATGAAACTGAAAGCGGTGTACGGTTCTGGTTACACGGGCATCAAAAACCTCGGCCACAGCTGCTACCTCAGCACAGTCATGCAGGTCCTCTTCAGCATCCCAGACTTCCAGAGGATGTGAGTACACACAGAAGGCCTCAATATAAGAAATTCCTTTGCGGGTTATTAATGTGGACTCTCCATTGTCGATCACAATCTGCTCTTTGACACTGGCCTGAGTTGATTAATCGAAACTAAAAATGACAAACTACTTTCTGACTTTTTGTCACACGCAAAAAAAATGTCTGTCGTTAGTTTGTAACATGTATTTGGATCTGTAGGTATGTTGGAAACCTTCAGAGGATATTTGACTATTCACCTCTCGACCCTACACAGGATTTTGCTACACAAATGTAAGTGACTCCAGCACTACACAATGTAGATTTATGGGCCAATTATTAAGACTTGGCGGTTTAGCAATAACGCACGTGTATTGCAGGATTTAGTTGAGTCTTTCCTACAGCATGTCTGAGTAAATCTTGCTGTACTTTTATGGCATCGGCCAATGTGTTGCAACAGTGGTTGCAACAGTTTCTCCTGGTACTGTGGTTTCCTCCCACATTCCAAAAACATGCATGGCAAATTAACTGAACACTCTAAATTGTCCTTCGGTGTGAGTGTGAGTGGTTGTTCGTCGATGTGTGCCCTGCGATTGGCTGGCACCCCGCTCAGTGTGTCCCCCGCCTACTGCCCGATGACAGCTGGGATAGGCTCCAGCATGCCCGCGACCCTCGTGAGGATGAGGTGGTTCAGATAATGAATGGATTTTGCTATATTACACGTTGTTGTTATGAAAACCTGATTGATGTACTTGATAAAAATGAGGGCAGATTCAAAATCAGCGTAAAAAATTCATCAAGAAAAGTTGACTTGCATCTCTGATTAAAAACATTTTTCAAAATATGCTGACCCGTGTTTTAATTGAAAATCTTTTTTATATTGGGCGCCAAGGATGATTTCTACAGTTGTGAGGTTCCTGCCTCAAATCACATTTCCAGCCTTCCTGTGTTGAGTTTGCGCTTGTGGGTTTTCTCCACGTACTCCGACTTCCTTCAAAAACATCCGTTCTTAGGAGGCCAAATTGAAGACCCTAAATTGTTCACATGTGAGTGTCAATAAATGTTTGTTTGAAGAGTTTGTGTTCTGCAATTGACCGGCGACAAATCCACTTGGAGAAGCTTCAGCTCACCGGTAACACGCGTGAGAATTAATGGTAGAAAAATGGATTCATCCCGAAACTAAAAACACTTACATTGGTAAAACTGAAATTTTACAGAACTTGGATTAGGCTCATAACAATGAACCCGTCGGACGTGCATAAATGCCGAAAGTGTTGATCGACGTTGGGGTAAATTGAGTTAAGGTCTTATAAAAGGACGAGTTAACAAACTGGTGATCTGACAAGTGAAGACATCCTGTAAAAATAGAACAAAGAATAATTTCATGCTGTCCTATTTTGAACTGTGTTTTGTCCAACAGGGCTAAAGTGGGCCATGGGCTCCTCTCAGGGCAATACTCCAAACCACCCATGAAATCTGAGCTTATTGAACAGGTGATGAAAGAAGAATACAAGGTATTAAACCGGGTATGTTCCGCTCCACAACTGGCCGTGTGGGCCACACAAGCATGCTCCTGGCCAGTGACGGCCAACAAACAAACAAAACACTTTCACTGAAATGCTACGTACAGTAACGTGTGTGAGCCCGTCTCATTAGCTTTCGTGTAGTTTCCGTTCGTAACGCAAAGGCTAAGTGACGCAAGCCATCGCATGCTTTTTAAGAATGTGCTTGGACCGTCTTTCTCTCAGTCTGAAAATAGCTGTTGGCTGCAGCACCACATTTGCAGCTCCAAGTGCTTCTGAAGACAGCTGTCACGGTTCCACTTGCACTGTTGCTTTCTTTTCTTTCTTTCCACCTTCTTGATTTTGCTCTTTGGTCATTTCTTTCACTTTGTTGTCAACAGTCCGTCTTCCCCTGTCAGCCCCCTACTTGCCTTGTCGTCTTCCGCCTGTGTGGCAAATTCCCTACCTTTTTTTTTTCTCCCGCTGCATGGCTCACCGTGGTTAGCACATCTGCTTTATACTTCTGATATTTGTTGTAGGAATTTCCGCGTGTAGTTTGCATCTTCTCCCTGTGCCTGCATGGGTTTCTGCAGATACTCTGCTCTCCTCCCACCTTTCAAAAATATTTGTGTTAGGTTTATCGAAGACTCTAAATTGTCTATCGCAGTGGTTCTTAACCTTGTTCGTGGTACCAAATCCAACCAGTTTATATGCACATTCACCGAACCCTTCATGAGTGAAAAAAAAATATCTATATATTTTTTTTACAAATTCAAGATATTAAAAAAAACACATTTATTAAAAACAGAAAAAAGTAAATAAAATTACATGGCCTAAGTATAGTTTTTTTCAATTCACCGAACCCCTCGGGTTCGATCGAACCCAGGTTAAGAACAAATGGTCTATAGGTATGAATGTGAATGTAATATACATTGATCCCTTGCTACTTCACGGTTCACTTATCACGGTTTCAGTGCATCGCGGATTTTTCAAAAGTATTCACAAAAAAGATGGAATAAAAAATAGCAAAAATGCCGCAAAAGCTCCGCGAGAGGCAGCGAAACAAACGTGAGTCACATAGAGCAACATATACAGTACACATGAATATTTCATGTTTATGTTTACTGAATTTTGTTATTTATACACTAACCTAACCTAATTTATACATCTTAATGAAATGTTAATTACCGGTACTACAAACATTTACTTTTACATGCATGTATACCATTAAAAAATTACCTTATAAATATTATATATAGGCATACACATGTACATATACCTGTACGGGGCGGGGGGGCTACTTCGCCGATTTTCGTCTTTCGCAGGTCGTCTCGGTCCCCATTAACCGTGATCAGTGAGGTATCACTGTATATCACGTGCCATGGCTGGCGACCAGTCAAGGGTATACAGTATACCTTGAGTTTATATATGCACTGGAAATGTTCTAATAGTTCACCCCAAAATGGCTACTAATTGCATCAGGATACACTCAGTTTCATTTGGAACACTTGCTAAGCATATGTTTAAAAATTCTCCTACTCTACTTTAGCAGACTTCTGGAAATCATTATCTTCCCATACACATTCTTCTCGGCTGTCAGGATGTGAAAAGCCATTGAAGCATTTTGCAAGGCAGTGAGCTGGAAAGTGAATTTTTCTTTAAGCCTCATCAGCCTCAGTAATTGATGATTCAAAGTGTGGGTCATCCACATATGATGTATAGATCATGATGTATAGATCACGCCTGGACACGTAATGACGGCTGGCTGAGACGGATGTCAGCGTTGGCCATTCAAATTTAAAATTCGGATTAATCTCTTTTGAACATCTTGCAGCAATCCCAAAATGAATTCTCTTCCATCTTAACATTAGGTTTTTAAAAGAGAGTAAGTGATTGCCCACTTCCGATTATCCCATTCTGCATCCAATATTTTATTCCTGGGCTATCTAATTTGTGTTTGTGTATCGTAGTCAGTATAGTTCCACTGAGATGAATCACCCATGTTTGACATGTGGTCTTGTTCATTCACTGGGGGCAATGCTGATTGTTTTTCTTCCAGCACCAACAAAAAGGCATCTCCCCCCGGATGCTAAAGGCTCTGGTCAGCCGGGGTCATCCGGAGTTTTCCTCCAACAGGCAACAAGATGCGCAAGAGTTCTTCCTTCATATGATCAACTTGGTGGAAGTGAGTAGGATTTAACATCATCATTCTACATATATACAGCAACCAGACCAGACACCTGATAGAAAGATATTATTTGTAAATAAAGGATTGATTGATATTTTCTCATCATCTTCGAAGTAGTCGATCAAGGACGTTTTGTGAGATTCCCATCGCTAACTACAATGATAATCTACCATATTTTACAATGTACAATTATAATCCGTCAAAGACAAAATTCACATCATGAGTTAGCAGACAAAATGATGAATCAATATTAGTCAATGGAACTGCTGGAAACTACTTTCAACATTAAAACGGACCTCCTCGATAATATTTCATCAGCAAATGTGACGGCGGTGAAGTTAATACGTCATCGATTGTACGCATCTGCAGAGGAACAGTCCGAGCTCAGAGAACCCGAGTGACGCCTTCCGCTTCCTGGTGGAGGAGCGAGTCCAGTGCTGCCAGACACGCCGGGTTCGATATACTCAGCGGGTGGATTATTGCATTCAGCTGCCAGCCCCTGTCGAGGCGGCAACCAATCGAGGTAAATCCGTCATCTTGAAGCCAGACCAGCACGTACTGTAGTGTGTTCAATTGTACATCCATAAAGGCCGGAATGACACAACTACATCGGTGCCTTGAGATACGACTTTGTTTTTTTTTCTATGACCACTCAAAACATGCATATCATGCATACCACTATATGAGAAATTACAATGAACTGAGAACTAAAAAGTAAATTGAAATAATATACAACTTATTCGACACAAACGTATTGGAAAGAAACTTGAACAAACTGTGGTGCCTTCTGTATTTATAGTATTAGCATACACTTTCTTTTTCTCCCATCAGAGGAGTTGTTGGCATACGACGCCAAGCGAAGGGAAGCCGAGGAAAACATGAGAGCTCCCCCTGAGCCGGTTCGGGCTCGCATCCCTTTCACGGCCTGCCTGCAGGCCTTCACTGAGCCAGAGAACGTGCCAGACTTCTGGAGTTCGGCGTTGCAGGCCAAGTCAGCCGGAGTCAAGTAAGCCACCTGCGTATTATATCCCCAATTTAATAGGCTTTAATGTCTTGTCGCTTTTCTGTTCAGAACGTCCCGCTTTGCCTCGTTTCCGGAATACCTGGCAGTCCAAATCAAGAAATTCACATTTGGAGTTGACTGGGTGCCGAAGAAACTAGGTAACTGTTGCACGGTTTATCGTCTGTACGTGCTCTTATGTCTGCCAGCTTCATTTGTGACCAGGTCGTTGGACTCGCACTGCCTTATTGTGAAGGATCTGACTTTCATGTGAGGATGAACTCTCACTGAAGTCTTTAGGACTTAGCATTGTTTCTAAAAATGTGTGTACAAAGGCTATGTTCCAACACAGTGTTTCCCAATTAATTGGCTAGCGTAAATTAGTGTGCTGCAAAAAATTCTCACATTTCAATCAAATGGTCTGAAAAATTTCCTACAAATTATCCGTCTTTGTTCAACTATGTATGCATCTGTGTTCTGCCAGTGAGAGGCAGAACAATTGAACGCACTTCCACAAGAATGCAGAAATGTCAGTTGTGTATCCACTTCTTGTGACATCTTTGTTTGGTGGTGTGCCATGAGATTTTCTCATATGTAAAATGTCGCGCTTCATTTGTTTTCCTCATATAATCAGTTGGTTCAATGACACAATTGGTATTCCTCCTTCCTAATACTTATACTAGTTCGTAGCAGCCGTGTTCCTCTTTAACCCTTTCAGGGACAGCGGTTACTCCAGTGGACAGCTTATCATGTTTTCAGGTTGCAGGGTGCTAGCTTTTTCTCCTTAGGGTCACAGCCGGCAAGTGATCTGGAGTCTATCACAGCTGACTTTGGGTACACCCTGCCCTGGTCGCCAGCCCATCACAAAGCACACATAGACAAACAGCCACTCACACCTACGGACAATGTAGACTCTACCTTGTAAGAGTCTTCAGTTCTTCTAACATGTATGTTTTTGGCATGTCGGGGGTGGAAGTCGGACTCCTCGAAGAAATGTCACACAAGCACGGGGAGAAGACGCAAACTCCACACAGAAAGGCCGTAGCCCGAATTCGATCGGCCTTCTGTATTTATAGTATTAGCATACACTTTCTTTTTCTCCCATCAGAGGAGTTGTTGGCATACGACGCCAAGCGAAGGGAAGCCGAGGAAAACATGAGAGCTCCCCCTGAGCCGGTTCGGGCTCGCATCCCTTTCACGGCCTGCCTGCAGGCCTTCACTGAGCCAGAGAACGTGCCAGACTTCTGGAGTTCGGCGTTGCAGGCCAAGTCAGCCGGAGTCAAGTAAGCCACCTGCGTATTATATCCCCAATTTAATAGGCTTTAATGTCTTGTCGCTTTTCTGTTCAGAACGTCCCGCTTTGCCTCGTTTCCGGAATACCTGGCAGTCCAAATCAAGAAATTCACATTTGGAGTTGACTGGGTGCCGAAGAAACTAGGTAACTGTTGCACGGTTTATCGTCTGTACGTGCTCTTATGTCCGCCAGCTTCATTTGTGACCAGGTCGTTGGACTCGCACTGCCTTATTGTGAAGGATCTGACTTTCATGTGAGGATGAACTCTCACTGAAGTCTTTAGGACTTAGCATTGTTTCTAAAAATGTGTGTACAAAGGCTATGTTCCAACACAGTGTTTCCCAATTAATTGGCTAGCGTAAATTAGTGTGCTGCAAAAAATTCTCACATTTCAATCAAATGGTCTGAAAAATTTCCTACAAATTATCCGTCTTTGTTCAACTATGTATGCATCTGTGTTCTGCCAGTGAGAGGCAGAACAATTGAACGCACTTCCACAAGAATGCAGAAATGTCAGTTGTGTATCCACTTCTTGTGACATCTTTGTTTGGTGGTGTGCCATGAGATTTTCTCATATGTAAAATGTCGCGCTTCATTTGTTTTCCTCATATAATCAGTTGGTTCAATGACACAATTGGTATTCCTCCTTCCTAATACTTATACTAGTTCGTAGCAGCCGTGTTCCTCTTTAACCCTTTCAGGGACAGCGGTTACTCCAGTGGACAGCTTATCATGTTTTCAGGTTGCAGGGTGCTAGCTTTTTCTCCTTAGGGTCACAGCCGGCAAGTGATCTGGAGTCTATCACAGCTGACTTTGGGTACACCCTGCCCTGGTCGCCAGCCCATCACAAAGCACACATAGACAAACAGCCACTCACACCTACGGACAATGTAGACTCTACCTTGTAAGAGTCTTCAGTTCTTCTAACATGTATGTTTTTGGCATGTCGGGGGTGGAAGTCGGACTCCTCGAAGAAATGTCACACAAGCACGGGGAGAAGACGCAAACTCCACACAGAAAGGCCGTAGCCCGAATTCGATCGCGCAACCTCACACGTGAGGTGGTCCTTCTTGTACCTGGCCACAGTGCTGCCACAACAAAATTTCGAAAAGTCATATTTAAATGAATCCTTGTGGGAGAAGCTAAGGTTCATGGTTTGATGGTATAGGCAGTTGTAAATGTGGAATGCATTAAAGGCAGAAGTCGTTGCTACCTCGTGTTGTCAATCAGGAGGACAGCTTTGTGTAAATCCAGCAGAGGGCAGCAGTGAGCTATGATTCTCAGGCACGGCTTCATAAGGCACAAATTCTGTGAAAATTAAGAGATGCTCGGCTATTTATGTTCTGATGTAAACTTTTAAATGTAGATAACATCAGAAAAAGCAATCCGGTGAGTTTAAGGTTAGCACAACTACCTCACAGTCGAAAAGTTCTGGTCGTGGCTCCGGTGTTCTTGCATGGAGTTTGCACGTTCTCTCTGTGCCTTTGCAGGTTTTCTTCAGGTAATCCGTCTTACTCCCACATCCCCCAAACACACATTAGGTTCACTGATGATTCTACATTTTCCATAAAAGTTGCTAGAATGAATGTAAGCAAACGCTAATTTGTCTACACACCATCGTGTCCAGGGTGTACCCCGCCTCTCACACTACAGTCAGCTACAACTAATGAGGAAAAGCACTCTATAAAATGAATGGATATACAGATATATTTGACATCATCCACAAGAAAGCTGTCTTTACATACCAGTAAAAATGTTTCAACTGTGTTTTTCTGTAGATTTGGGCATTGATGTTCCAGACTTCCTGGATCTGAGCCGTCTGAGGGCCACTGGGCTGCAGTCAGGTGAAGAGGAGCTGCCTGACCTTATGCCGCCCATTGTGCTGCCCGAAGACACCAGGGGTATGCACATACACTTACTTTAGCACTAACATTACAGGAAACATGGCTAGAAATGACACAAATAAACACACATGCCAAGGTTACCTAATTGTCATCTACAAAGATCTTCAATGACATCACAAAAGGTTTTTGGATTTGCGGCTAATCGCTTTTGGAAAAATTGTTGCTGGAGGGGTTGGAAAAAGATGCTTATTATTATTTTAAATTGACAGTGCACAAACATAAATTCATTAGGATTCAGTTATCTTTTTGCTCCGTAACTCGTCCGAAAATGTTGCTCATCGTTTTCCAAATTAAAAGCAATCGTTTCATTTTGATTCAACACAAAAATAATCAGTCCACTTTCACAGAGGACATAAACAGAATAATATTCACTGTTGGGAATCTGACATTATCAGTATTTGGTTAATTTTAAATTTAAAAAAGATATCTAAACGATTCATCGATTATCAGAAATAATCAATCAATTTGCTAATCGATTAGTTGTCAATCAATCGATTTAAATGTTGCACCTGTAGAGCAAACATCAATTTTTGTCGGGACTTTGAAGCAGATTTTTCCAGGAGATTTTGGTTCACCTCATTCGACTTCGGAGCTTTTGTTGTGTTTTCACACCACTCGTAAGAATTTCCTCGACGACATAGTTGTTGTCATCGCTGTATTATCAGATTTTGTGGGCGATGTCGTTGCACACTGTCTGTTTCCAAATTGACGTTGCATTGTCCGCTTGCAAAGGCGCCCCCGGCGTTTTCCACAGCTTGTGATTTTTGAAACAGTATTGTTCCTTGAGTCACTTGAAAAGTGCAGCGACATCTCTTGCTCGACGTCCACACATGGTAAATATTTTACAAACTGTAGAGGGCACAATGTGTTCACTATGTTCACGTTTTTTTTTCTTGTTTAAAGTTCCCTTAAAGTTAACATGGTTTCTTTCCACATTACCCTAAAAGCGTGCCCAGCTTGCCAAATAGTGAGCCCAGTACTTCTACTTCATTTCATTGCCCTGATATTTCAAACCATTGAACAAATCATTCTTTCATAAAGCTGCATTATAAACCGGGTGAGCCCAGTACTTCTACTTCATTTCATTGCCCTGATATTTCAAACCATTGAACAAATCATTCTTTCATAAAGCTGCATTATACTCTCTCTCTCTCTCTCTCTCTCTCTCGCTCTCGAAACAGTGTTAGGAAGAACCAAATGTTCTTTTTCAGCACTTTTTCATCCCCTTTTGTATGATGACTTTTGGCTGCTGCAAATGATCCACTGGCCCCATTGTCCTTAGACCGGCACGAGCAGTGATTAATCACGTCGACCCGACTGTCTCTCCTGCTCCCCAAGACTCCCGCGCTTCATTGAGCACAAATGTTTGCATTCTAACCTGTTTCATACACCTTTCTTCATAGTGATGGCCGCTTAAAACTAGGCTAAGGAAAGGCACGGCGGCTTTATTTAGATCGCATGCTTCATACAGAAGGCAACGAGCAGGAAGGTGAAGTAATTTGATTTAGCTTGCCAATAATAATAATACATTCTAACGATAATTAACATAGTCATGATATTTTAACAAAACAGAAGTTGCATGATCATATTTGTTAAAGAAGAAGGTAACACTTGTTGAAACAGTCAATTTATACATGAAGCATACATAAAATGTAAGACAATACTACCTCGTGTTTTCCTCGCATTATTACCATAAGAGTACTGTGAAGAAATACCATCAATGGTTCACTTTCATTCCTGAGAAAAAAAAGGAAGTCAGGTTTTTTTTCCTGAAACTTGAGAATGTAATCGATTGCTCAATGTTCTCAAAAAACGCACACAGGATCATTTATTGGGACTGTCAATTTTTAAATTGGCTCTTTTGTTGCGAAAAATCGACACCGTAACCTAACGTTGTTAAAAAGCAGGTATGCCATTGCTCACTGCATTTACAATATGAATGTACAATTCATTTTAGCAAATTGGGTCCCAGATTTGCAATAACTGCATTACATCATTGCTACTGACCGTAAGAGCAACAAAGTGTGAACACTCAGTTGTTAAGATTGCTAAACAAAAAATACTTAAATCTAATTTAACACTAACCCGCACTAAGAGCGTGTCAAATAGCCGGAGCATCATTCGCCAGCAGCCGTGCCATCTGTCCATCATTGTCATTCCGTCATTATTTCAGGCCCGCCAAATGTGCCTCGGTCACTCCGTCATTGTTAACCGCACTTCTATCACTGCTAAATTACATTTCGGCACCGCTATTTTAGGACCGTCGGCTAATCCATCATCGGTGGTCTGTCATTGCTAAATTACAGTTTTTTCTTTTTTCTTTCTTTTAGCTTTATTAGACAATTAGTTCGACACCACTAACGTAGGACTGTAAGATCTTCTTCATTCCCTTCTCCTTCATTTTCTTTTTCAGCTTCAATCATTTTCTTGTTCGTCTTTTCTTTTCGGCTTGTCCCATTAAGGGGTCGCCACCGCATTTCATCTTTTTCCGTCGAAATCTATCTTCTGTATCCTCCTCAATAACACCAACTCACCTTATGTTGTCACTCTCTACACTACATCCATCAGCCTTCACTTAGGTCTTCCGCTTTCTCTCTTTCCTGGCAGCTCCATCCTCATCAGCCCCATACGCTCACTATCTCTCCTCTGGACGTGTTCAAACCATCTAAGTCTGCTGTCTAACTTTTTCTCCCAAAAACTTTTTTTGTATTTTTTTTTACTTTATATCGACAAACTATATACAAGTCTAGTGCAAAGTGCAATCCAAATGTGCGCATGGTACGCATTTTTCATTTGGCATTTGACGGGCGCACATATAAATAAGTATTTGCTCTATCGTTGGAGTGAACACAGCCGACTTGATTCCCGGCCAATCGAATTGGCTCTCCTCGTTCCCTTTAAATTCCGTGCAGGTAAAGAGGGATGGCGGAGTTCAAATGATCGCCCAACCCTGCTGTAGAGCTCAAAGTCGAAACCCTTTTTTCTGAGATCTTGTGTGGCATCGCACGTGATGTTGATGATGATGATGATGATGGTTTGAACACATTGGCTTGTTTTGCAAGGTTTTCCAGGATATTTAGGTTGAATTCTAGACAGTACCTTTTGGGGCAAATTGACCTTTGGAGTTGCCATTGTATTGTCTTAAATCAAACCCAACTTGAAATCCGAGCTTCGGGATATTCAGGGTAGCCGGTTAATTCAACTCTGATATTAGCAATGGAAGCTATGGAGCATTGTGTTCACGTTCATTTATTCCATCCATGTATATGTAATCACTTGATCCACAAAGGCATGCGAGCGCATACATATATGGAAGCGGTGTGTGATTCATCCCTTTTTCCTCTGTTCCAGATAACTCCATGAGCTCCTTAGATTGTGAGTATATTGCCAGCCTTCTCATTAACACGATGACACATTGAGCCAAAGCATTGAGCGTGCGTGCCTGCGCAGGTGCACAACACTTTCTTGTTTGCGTACGCACTCCATGATAGATTGTTGTGCGCTGAAGAAACATCCCTGGGGCTCATTGTCTTCCGGTCTCTTTGCCTAATGAGGCCCAAAGAGAGAGAGGGAGAGGCCGGTTGCTATGACGCCAGCACATGTGAATGAGCAACTGTGTGCGTGTGTGTGTTTTAAGTTATTGATGGTGCTCTCCGTTTTGTCCCTTAGCTCCGGAAATAGATGAGGCAGCAGTAATGCAGCTGGCAGAGATGGGCTTCCCGCTAGAGGCCTGCAGAAAGGCTGTCTACTACACTGGCAACATGGGCCCTGAGATGGCCTTCAACTGGATCATAGCCCACATGGAGGAGCCCGGTAAGCATCTTGTCGAACGCAAGGTCACGGCACTCAAACTGGTCAATATTTGCAAACAATGAGAAAAGGCTTGAAGAAACAAGCAAGAGAAAAGGCTTTAAGAAGGCAACTGTGGTCACATAATCTTCCCAAAATCCCCAAAAGAGCCATGAATGACACATTTAAAAAAATGACTCGAAATTGCAATCGGCAAAAATTAATTTGTGCACAAATTTACCTTTGTGGTTGATGGGTCCACTTCTACAGTGAAACATTACAAATATTGGTTCTGGAAAAAAAAAACAGGCCTATTCAAATGTATCTGACCTGACAATTGTGTGTGTGTGTGTGTGTGTGTGTGTGTGTGTGTGTGTGTGTGTGTGTGCGCGCGCGCGCGTGCTTATGTTACATGAAGCCCGGTAGTCGGCAGGTTAAGGTGAGACACAGCTGCAGCGAGTGATAACAAATTTAGCAACGAGCTTCAGTTGGCTACTACTGCCTGCTAAACATGTTGCAGTTTCGCTGCTAAGTCAGCAGGCACGGCCTCCATCATCTCGCTTCCATGAGAGTGAATAAATGACACTTCTTACAAGTATCTCTCTCACAAAGGAATTGCGAGCAAGGTTATTATTATAGTTTGGGAATATAGTTAGTTTTTATTTCGTTTTGAGTTTTGTTTTTGAAATTTAATTAGTTGTTATTTGTTTTTTTAGGGCGGCTTTCTTATGCTTTATTAATTTTATTATTTTTTAAAATGCTTAGTTTTAGTATATGTTATCTTTGTTTTATTTGTTTGTGTGTACTGTATTGTATGTGTGTGTGTGTGTATGTGTATATATATGGCGGGTTTATGTTTTATTTTTTTCAATTCTTAGTTTTCGTATATTTTTTTGTTTTTGTTTTGTATTTACTGTTCTTGATATACTTTTATATACTGTACTGTATATGGGAGGTGGGGGGGGGGCGTGGGGGTCTTTCTACAATTCTGCCAAAGGTGCTTGTGCAGTAACTGTCAGCTTTTCCACCTCCTCGAGGTTGCAGGCGTAAGCAAGTAACACACAGAGACAAGGCATGTTTATTGGTATGGGGCCTTTTAAACTCAAAGGTAATTCAAAGAGAGAGAGACGGGTCAAATCTTCGCTGGATCAGGACAGCTTTTGTGTACCCTGGTCGTTCATCAGGGTGTGTGTATCCGTGACAACACCATCAAGTCTGTCAGTCTTTTGCAGCCAAGGTGTTCCAGGGAGGCCCTAACCTGTGCCACTTTTATTACCCTTGGTGCATGGTTAAAAAAAGGCCTCAGGTGCGCACAGAAATTAGCGCTTTTAAGTTTCAAGGTGTGTGATGCAAAATTTGCTGCTTTAAGACTAAATAATGTCATTGGAAGTGGTCTAATATGTTATTTGGTAATCATTTGCAGGTTTAAGAAGTGGTGGACATTGGTGACACTTTCATTGCATCATTGTATGATTGAGAAAATAATGACGTTTTTTGGAAAATCCCTCATCAAAAGGGTTTTAAATATGACACAATGTCATTGGCTTCCAATTTAGGTATTTGTAGATCATTTACCAAAAAAACGACATCAGATGACACGTGACAGTTGCTCGAAATAAAGCCTTGGCCCAAACCTTTCAATTTGAGGTACAGTACGACTCTATGGAGGTTTGTTGAAAATAAATTTTGGACTTTGATATGTTTTTACTTACTAATTCCCAATGTCAGTTCTATCCAAAATGTAATAAGTTGATGAACAATCGACCTCATACGTTGTCCATAAGTTTGAAGCTGTGGATTTTTGCGTCTTGTCAAACCAAATAAAGATTTTTTTTCGGCCATGAGGTTTGATATTGTCACACAATAATGATAAATTTAGAAAGGCCTCGTCTACACTTTTGATACGGAACTTGATTTGCTTTGTTGCTTTTCACTGGTGACCTGTCGCTTTGAGGATTTTAACCAAAGAACTGGCTACAATATAAACTGTCATCAATGCTGTGAGATATGCACTTCCAGGCAGAAGGGCTCCATTAGAGGTGGAGTGGAAACAAGCATTTTAACAGCCATTTAACTCCTCTTGCAAACGTGCAAACGTGCCGTTTATTTATTCACCTCTTTAGTTTTATGACGGCTAGACAACACATTGAGTGGCGATGGAAAAGACACAAAACAAGGAGATAAAGGCATTAGCGGGTAGATAAGGAGTTTGCATTTTTCTTTTATGGTGGGGAGATTAATGAAGGCTGTTTATGGCCATCCGTAATTACAGTCGCAGTGTCCTTGCTGAAGGGCCACTTCACTTTGATTTTAGTCTCCCAGAAGTACCCAAATGGCTTGTTTATTAATTAATGAATAGTTCAGTTTCACGTTTGAAGATGCTTTATTTTCAAGTACGTGAATGTACATACTGTACTAAAAAGTATTCCCACTATCGTAGTTCACCTGCCACGGTCCTGCTATATCAAAGATTTTTTTGTGCCACACATTCACTTCTTCAATGCGGATATGCCTGCTGTTTGGCGAATTTACAGTTTTTAGTGATTATTTTTAAATGGATTTTCACAGTACACGGTTGTAACTGTGACTTATGAGTCCCAACTCTCAACTTGCGATTTACTTGAACCCATGCTATTTGTGTGGAGGATGGAGTTTGTAATTCTATTAAATTCAAAAGATTGCAGCAAATCAATTGAAATGGAATAGAATATAAAGACTCAACATCATGCATTTGGTATGCACACAATTATGAACCCATGTTACAACAATTCAGTAGTTACATTATTCAACACCAACAAAGCTTCTTTACATGAGGATCATCAAACGTATTAGCTAGCATATAGCCTAACGCTAACACAAAATGTAGACACAAAAACACTTGATGAATTCAGCAGATGGATTGTATCATTCCTAGTCCTTTTTTTTTTTTTTTTTTTGCTTTATGTGGCCATCCAAAATTTGATTCACAAGCAAGTTGTAAGTTTTCCCATTACGCTGCTGCTTGAATTAAGTACAGTACTCTGGGTGTGTGTGTGACTTGTGTGTGTGTGTGTGTGTGTGTGTGCGTGTGTGTGTGTGTGTGCGTGCGTGCGTGTGTGCGTGCGTGCGCGTGCATGCGCGCGCCCATAGCGGGTGGGGGGATGCACATTTAGTTGTTTATTGAATAGTATAGTAAAACACTGAAATACAAAATGAGAGCACAAGCCATCAACTACGATAGGCCAAAACAGATCTCTCTATGTATTGATTAATTTATTTTAGGAACGGAAAGGGGGATAATGATATTGATCTCCCCAAGTAATTGTAGTCAACGAATCACTTCACCTTCTCTGCAGACTTTGCCGAGCCTCTCATGCTGCCGTCCATGTTGGGCCCGGGCCCCTTCAGCATCGCAGACAGTCCCATGGGCGCCACCCCGCTGGACAACTCGCCCCCCGAGGAGAGCATCGCCATCCTCACTTCAATGGGATTCCCTCGCACTCACACCATCCGGGCGCTCAAAGCCACGGTCGGTCAAGCGTTCACTCTCTGGTCACAACACAGACTGACAAATGCATTTGAATGATTGCCAAAATATTGTCTAATATGAAAGTGTTGCTCTCGTACCGTCTTGTGACTTATTGGTGTGAAGGAGCATTGTTGAAGTGAGTTGAGGAGCTTTATCTAGTTCTTTGCTGCCATCTTGTGGCATCTATGGCGATACTGAACATTTTAGGAGGCACAGCGATGACATACTCACGGCGTGACTCATTTCCTATCCCACACTTATAGCCAATTAGGAGTCAACACAGTGCAGCTCAACCTCTGGCTAGCTGATGGCATTGCTAGTGATTGCTTTTGGCAGAGTATCGAACTCATTTGAATTGGGGTTTGAAAATACATGATCCATCCATCCATCCAAATTCAACACCGCTTATCCCAGCTGACTTTGGGCGGAAGGCAGACTACACCCCAAACTGGTCGCCAGTCAGTCGCAGGACACATATAGAGACAAACTGAGTGGGAACCGATCCCACGTTACCCACTCACAAGTCAGGCGAGTGTACCACTACATCATCAGCGACTTTGAAAAGACAATGCTACATGTGTTTTCAGAGGCTGCTGGTGAACGGGCTAAACAAATAAGCTGATTTCAGCAGGACAAGAAATAGTGTGTCACCTTTAAGGGTTCGACTTTGGAGGTTCCGCTTTCATAATTGCAGTGGGTTGTTATTAAAGCATGGAAATAGAGCCAAAGCGTCCTTGTTTGTCATCGAGTGCTTGCAGTTTGAGCGCACAAATAAACACATATTGCTTTTAATGAATGTGAAGCCGGAGGGGGGGCTCTCACCACTGAGGTTATTATTAGCTCAAAATAAGGAGGAGGTACGATTGATTTATTTATTTTTCCTTCCCCGCCTCAACCTCACTGACCCAACTAAGCCATATCACACTTAGCGCATGAGGGAGATGTGGATGCGCATTCTCCAGGAATCACGCATCTATTTTGGATCCCCGAAAAACATTCTCGGAAAGTGCTTAAGCGGCGAGTGACGTGGGCCACCGCAAAAATATTTAGAAAAAATTGATTTTGTGATGCGATACCTAAAGGTGGACAATGGAATGGAAGGGAGAAACAAACACTTCAATCAGACTCATCTGCGTAATTGAATGAAACAGTGGAAAAAATTATGGATAATGCCCGACAATGTTAATATTTATTATTGTGGTTAGTGTTTGGATTGGTGAGAACACACACATATTATTGAGTTAAAATACTAGCAAGGGGCGACCCGGTGTTCCAGTGGTTAGCGCGTCGACATCACAGTGCAGAGGTCGTGGGTTCAATCCCGGCCTTCCTGTGTGGAATTGGCATGTTCTTCCCGGGCCTGCGTGGGTTTTCTCCGGGTACTCCGGTTTCCTCCCACATTCCAAAAAACATGCATGGCAGGCTGATTGAACACTCCAAATTGTCCCTAAGTGTGAGTGTGAGCACGGATGGTTGCTCGTCTCTGTGTGCCCTGCGATTGGCTGGCAACCAGTTTCAGGTGTCCCCCTACTACTGCCCAAATACAGCTGTGATAGGCTCCAGCACCCCCCACGACCCTTGTGAGGATAAAGTGGATTGGAAAATGAATGGACGGATGGATGGAATACTAGCATGATAGGAGAGCTCAGTGATGATGCAACGAGTCTACCTCACCATTCCGAGGTTCTGGGTTTGCATCTCAGCTACAGCTTTCCCGTGTGGAGTTTGCAACTGTTGTTTTGGATCCCATGATATTGTGCAAGCAGACTTTGTGTTGTGACCATTCAGGCTACATAATGAATTCCATAAAAGTCACATATGGAGGCGCTGCATTTTTTGTGTTTCCATTTTGAAGAACAACAACCTTGAGAGAGCACTCGACTGGATCTTCACCCACCCGGAGGAGGAGGAGAGCGACGCCCTTTCCAACATGGCTGACACGGAGCCCAATGACAACGCTTTCTCCAACGGCAACTCGCACAGTGACTCCACATTGTCCCCAGACGGGGACACGTCGGGACCGCGCGTCAAAGACGGACCGGGACGTGAGTCAATGACTTTCTTTTGTCTGCAGGTTTTCATCGCCATTCATTTTGTATGAATGCAAGGACGACAAAGAAACATTTCATTCTCTTTTTATTATTTGAAAGGAGAATCTCTGAGCATAACCAAGATGTAGTGCACTCCAAAAGAACCAACTCAATGGACCTTCACATTCATATTAAGTAACTTATACCAACTGAACTAATGGGAGTCGTAGTGTGTGTCTATTTCATTTATTATATTTGTGTAGATATTATGATCCATCCATCCAATATCAGACTCATCGTCATTGGAGTTACGGGTGCCACTTCTGCAAATATGTATGAATAAAATAAATAGACAATAAAATCCCAATATGTTATACTGCATCCCAACAGTAAGTTTAAAAAGAATTAAGAGATTTTTTGGGGGATGATAAGAATAGATAAAAAGGGGAAGACTGCATACAAAACATTTGTTCATTGTAGTTGTTTGAGTCGAGGGCTTTGTAAAGTCAGTGTTACAGCTTAGAAATGATGTGCTCTATTCAAATGCATTCATTTTGCTTGCCTTTATTGTAAACAGTGTCCACATTTCTTGTCTCAGGTTATGAGCTCTTCGCAGTTATCAGTCACATGGGAGCATCCACAATGTCTGGACACTATGTTTGTCACATTAAAAAAGAAGGCAGGTGAGTAGACAAGACAATACAGTCTTTCAAATGTACTTGTATTTATTCATCATTATTTTTTATTTTATTTTATAACCTTTATACCCGCCTCTCACTTCTCTCAAGGCACCACTGCATTTGGTTGTGTACTTGTTTGCCAACGACAAAAGGTCCCCTCTTAAACAATGCGTATTATGATGACACGCGACTGTCTTTCGACAGGTGGGTGATCTACAACGACCACAAAGTCTGTTTATCAGAGAGGCCTCCAAAAGACTTGGGCTACATCTACTTTTACCATCGACTGTCAAGCAGTTAAAGTTAGCACCCCATCCCCCTTCCACCCCCCCTTAACCAATGAACCACTGTCATCCACCTGGGAGAATGGCCCCCAACAGTTACCCACAGCCTCAGTGGTAACCATGGAAACGTCACCTCATACCATCTACGTGTCTTAACCATGAGGTCCGTGAGGAGCAACTCTGTTCACAAAGGGAAAGCGATGTGCTCTTTTTGTGTTTTTGTTTTGTTGAGTTGAATGTGCTTGTTGTCTATCGTCCGTCCAGAGGGACTGTGTCATGTCTGCTGTGCTCTGCCCACAAAGTAATGCAACATCATATCCCACTGGTATCTCTTAGATGCCTTCAGATGGCCTGCCTGTATTTTCCAAAGGGTACATTTTGTATATGTATTGTAATAAGACAACGTACTGCCAGTACATTAATGCCAACTTGCAATTAGCTCATTTCGTTTTATTTCTGATGTGAAGAAATTGCCCCCCCCCCCCAATCTTTGAAAGTATTTTGACACTGGACAAATACTATTTTTTTTGGTGGCTTCATAACAGCTCAACCCTGATCCAATTTAATGTGCTAGTTTGTCACTTTTAAGAACAAAAACTCAGTGCTGCAAGCATTTTCAACAATGAAGTATTTTCCTTCACTGAAAGCACTTTTTGCAACAACGGTATTTTGCACCTCACGCGCAAGCAGAGTCAAAACCAGCGACACGGAAGTGAATGTAAATGTTTCAAACGTCAACTCTACTACTACTGTAAATCCGTGAGATAAACTCAATGTTATAAGTGATATTGAGGTCCTTGCTACTACACTTTGGGTCTTTTAATACATATAAAGCCAACACCTCTGCTGTGTAAAAAAAATAATAATAATAAAATAAAATTTAAAAAAAAGAAAAAATTTCTACTCGCAACTAATTTTGATTTGGTTCATCTATGCATATCATCATTGTTCATGTGCAAAGCAATTTGCACTACAAGCAAACATGGATTGTATAGACCTGCGCTGAATGTATGAACTCCAACAATAACTCAAAATATCTTTTGGTTTTAGTGCGCCCCATTTTAAGGCGGCTTGAGTATCCTCAAGTAATTGACAATCCCAACCTACCCAAAAAGGTCTGTAATTGCATATAGAAGCCAAAAAATGGCCGTGAAGCATGATTTATGCCAAATGAAACTCCTCAACTAACTGTAACATACTTTACAAAGAGGCGAATTTGTGAATGCTGAACCGCAATTCCTCAAATAATGACCTCTGCTCCAAGTAGACGCCGTATCCCGGATTATCACCTGGTGCATCCGTCTCAGTTAAAAAGAAAACAAAAAAAAAACCTCCACATTTCAAATAGACAATTCCTTTGTTCCATTCAAGTAGCTGGAATTAGCTTTATTATGACTGATACCAGCATGTGTCATCACACGCCTGCAGAGCAGAAACGGCATCTGTAAAGCTGAACTTTAAAGAGAAAGCAAGTAGGGCAAGTGATTGGGGAGAATTTTTCTCATCCCGCCTTTTTCCAGGTCATGGAATGGTGGTTCAAAGTCGCCTTTGGCGTTAGTATTCAATAAAAGCCATCAGAGATGGGCGGCGTCTGCGTTAAAGGGAATGTCGTACTACTGCGTTACAGTCACCTGTATGGCTGTGGAATGTTGTGTAGCTTTAAAATACATTACCCTTCCGCTACTCTGCAGTTGAGTAAATATTTTGGGGTAAATACAGTACGTCATCTCATCCTTAAGGGGAGTTCTGCTGATTTTAGCCTGCGTTTATGATTCAAGTCTTGAGAGATAAACACCCACATATCACAACATTGGTTCGAATAGTTCCTCAGGTTTCTGACGTGTCTCTCCTTGAGGGCGAGTGTAATATTGTCAGTAGTGCTTCCCTTCAACAGCACCTTCCGTGCCTACAACGTCCCCGAGCAAGTTTAAATGCAGTATATCGCAACGGAAGGCCCCCCTCATCTGTGTAATTCCCGGGGGGGCATTGAGGGAATGATCAAACATCTCTATGCAAGCCTCGGCCGGCTGTTGCCGTCCACCGCGTCAAATGGGTGGTTGTCATGTGATCAGCGGCCGCCCGGTGACGTCATCTCCACGGCGTCGTCTGATGAATGTCTTCTAATCCCCTGTTGTCGTGTCATATTCTGTTAATCTCCAAGCACCGATCGTATTCTCATGCGTGTATGTTCCCGTCTGAGCTTTCCCTTCCAGCTGTTGTTCAAGATAGGCTTCGGTTCGTCTCCGCTGTCAGCATGTGCACTAAACGTTGACATTTGATTTATTTGGATTGTAAAATCGTACTTGGCTGGGCTTTCTTTTCATGTAACTAAATGTTCAAGTGGTTCTTTGTTGCCTTTCTTTTGGGAAACAGATTTGTGCCCATTCTTTTAGTTTTGCTCAAGAGATTGTTTTACGTTGACTTTTGAAATGTATGCGTTTATCCAGATGTGGCTTAGCCGTATGTGAATAGAGTCATGACAGGATGCTTAATGGCACCGTTTACTTGCCATGTTTGGGTAATTTAATAAACAACACTTTGTCCACTCTTGTCGTTTGTTTGCAGTTTGTTGAAAAGTTAGCAAAGATGCATTTCCATAATTAAGGCTGGATTTACAGTGTGGAAAAATCCGATGGGAATCTGACATTTGGAAATGCAAAGTTTAAGAGTTGTCTACAATTATTATTCTTCGCTTTCATGGTTTTGCTGCCTGACCTTGACACTGGAGGTATAGTTTGTACACTACTCACAAGAAGTATGTACCTAAAATGTACCTGCGGCATTTGAATGCAAATGTTACCGTATTATTTTCTGCGCAAGTTGCTGAATGGCAAAGTTCACTAAAAGGCGTTTGAAGAAGACTTTTTTGTTTTTAAATCCCAATTTAAATTGAACCAGTAGACCTATTGCTCCGGATCCAACAAACGGCTGTTTTGAATTTGCTTCGCTCCTTGTTCGAGAACACTGAGTTTTAGATTTTAGATTGATCAACAAAGCAACTTGGACAACGCCACGCCTACTTTGCAAAATATGTCGCATTACTTCAACAAGGACCCAAGCAGCACAAATAACTTCGAAGTTCCGACCTGAAAATGAAGCAGTCATCGTTCACCCCCCCCCCACCTCCCCCCACCCCCTTGAGGAGGGCACTTGCAATATATCCTTCAAGAACAACAGAAAGACACACACGCATGGCCTTTGTATGTATAACAACTGTTTATTTTGAAAAGATTACTTTCATAATGTTCATTTTAAAGGTTCTAATGCGTTCATTGTGATTATACAGGGAGAGTAATATGCATTATAGTGTGGAACTAAATGGAGCCATGGGTATAAAAGCGTCTCATTTCAACGTCCTCCCGTCCAAATAGCATTTGCTTCATCTATGTCGGATGTGTGGCTAAACAAACCAGCAAAATGCCTTTTGTGTACCGGAGTGAAGACAAAAGTAGGCTGCTGATAACTCTTTTCAACTTCAACCATTTATACCTTGGAACCAAAAACTTGAAATGAGTACAAGTTGACATGTCATGAAAGTTGACTAGGCACATTTATAGATTGATAGTCATCAGGCAAGATAATGATTATTGAATAAAATCTAGCCGAAGATTTTAGAATTCGGTGACTATTTCATCACATGGAGAAATATGACAAATAAAACAGTTTGAGGAGCAGAATTTAGTGTGTTGTACTGCTGCTTTTGCAAAGGTATCAAATGGCAATGAAAGGAAAACGGTATTTGGACTACACTGCAAAAGAACCCAAGTCCTCATTTTAATATATTTGTTTCTACAACTTTTTTTTCCACGTAACAATGGTACATTTTATTTCTCTTTAATTACATGATTTTTTTTTCATTTTCAAATCCCTACTTTTTTCTTTCTTACCACAGCAATGATATTCTCTTGAAATTATAGTTTCCTAATATCTCCTCAATGTTGTTCTCATAAAGTTTTTTTTTTAATTTACTTCCATTTTTTTCTGATTCCCACTTATATCCAGTGTAATTTGTGTTTTCATCGAATTCAAACTTTCCCGCCAAATTGGACAAATTAATTAAAAAAAAAAATCCAAATAATTATCTTTCATGGTTGTAATTACTTTGACCGTCAATTTCATATTCAGTTTGACCCTGTCACACTTTCCACATTTTTAGATTGTCATACTTAAAATAACATCTTGCCAGCTTTTACTTCCATATTATGTAAATAAGCAATAATGACTATCCTAATCTTTGTGACCCTAAATTCTTGCGCTCATAAAATGTTAAGACTCCATGTGATTAATTAGTTGCTATGAAAGTGGTTTTAACTTATTCACTGATCCGACAACCGCGATTAATTCCACCAAGGAAAAGACATTTGGGGAAATTTATCACTCTTATGGTTGGGGTGATTCGAAAATGTTATCAGTAGTCAAGTCATATGGTCATTCGAAAATTCCCTAGCAATACAGCTCGCTGTGTTGTAGTAACGTACTCGAGAGCTTCAGAGTTAATGTCCCCCCCATTAATTTCTCCCTTGCACAGCTGCTCATTCAAACAAAAGCAGTTGACATTATATAGATGCATGTACTGTATATGCACTTTCTTGTCGAGGGTGCACTTTTTAACCGCCAACATATGGCAATGAAATGTAATATATGTTAAGTTATTGGGACTAAAAGAAAGCAGTTCCCCTGTTGTCCATGCATACAAACTCGGTGTAAAGGATCTGGCATGCGCTCAAGCTCGTTTTGTTTCTCAGGAGCATGCTCTATGATTGTTCACCTGAGAGGCTTTAACAAGTCGCTTCTACTGATACTCAATGCAATACAGTATGCCCTCGAAGGTTTCTTGAAAATAAAATAAAATAATGTCTTCATTTTAAGCAAAAACAGCAAAGGCCTGCAAACCTTGATCAGAAAACCAGATTGGATTTTGTACATTTGGAAACCCACATCATCGATAGACGGTGAAATGTTTCTAAATGATTGCTGTGTTCGTGAGAAGAAAGAGAAAGTTGAACGGAGGCTTGTATTGGTCCAACGGGGCTGGCCGTTGTGCGGGTACTTGACAATGTCAGCATGTAGGACAATGTTGGTGAGGCCAATCGAGAAGGGAAAAAAAAAACAAATTGATCTGCTGGCCAGCTGTGACGCAGAGGCACCAACGACTCATCCAAAGCCATTCTGCCATTTTTATGTGGCTGCATTTTAGTGTAACATTGAAATAACAAGGACGGAGGGCGGGGTAAAAACCAAACAAACAAAATAAACAACAACAACATTATTTGGGGACCATCAACCTCTCTCTTGTGGTCTCACCTGCCCATGACTTTTTGGTGACACAAAGTGTTTCCGACCTGACTTGTCTTGGCTTGTAAAAGCTGTAGTTGCGTGCCCGGACGAGACGGCAGGTCCTCACACCACTTACCTAGTGGATGTTAACGCAGTAGTAAAGTCATAATTACAGTAGATATTTTTCTTAAAAAAACACCCCTGCAGCCACAAATAGAAACGAATCCTGTGAAAAACAAGCGGCACTTCAGCGTGCCTTCTTGTGCTGCGCGCTGATGTATTCTTGCCTCGTTGCACAAAATAGCTTTATTCTACACCGTTCATAAACTCAAAATGACACACGCCGGGACCGTTGTAAACTGAGGGCTCTCCTGGATATTAATTATGCGAGCAACAGTATTAGAACACATCAGTGACCTCTGACGGACTGCGTGTCAATCAAGCATAGCGGTGATTCCCAACCACTGAGCCAGGGAGCCACGTTAGTGTCCCACAAGAAATGATCTTGTGTAAAAGAAGGGTCCAAAATGCATTATTTATTTACGACAAAAAGAACCATTAAGTGGCAATGTATCAGCTTTGTGCTCAATTAAACAGGCACTGATTTCTCACTAAATAAGTAAATTGTGAGATTTTCGGTGACATTTTTGCCTGGTGGTCTTTTCAAGGGATTTTTGTCAAGTAAAATATATGCCTTGGCTCAATAAAGACTGGGAAAGACTGAAATAAAGATTGGCAAAGAGCAAAGACAGGGTCGGCACATAGACAAGAACAACATCCAAACAAATTAAACAATTCGTTCTTAGACTGAACAGCTCCCGCTGTGTTTCATTTGTTTTTACAAATGTATACTTTGTGTTCCCATGCCTCTTTTTTTTTTTTTTTGGGTGTCTTCCCTGTCTGTGCTCATTACTTAAGAAGCATCACCTGGTATCCTCAGCTCTGCATGCCGCTCAGCCAATCGGCTTGCCCCCTTGTGTCTTCACCACCTGTCTCTCGTTGCGTAATTAGTCACTGTCTACTTAGCCTCCTGTCCCGGTTCATTTTAGTGTGGTGCTTGTCTCCCGCGGCTCCTGTTTGGGTGGATTTTGATGACAGTTCTGGGTATTGATTTATTGTTTTTGGCCTGCAGTGGTTGGTTTTATGAAGAGTGTTTTTGAGGGCAAGTTTTCACTGAAATACCTGTTCTCATCTGCATCCGGTTACACATTCCTTTTGTGCAACTGCCACATTGGCGTTACGACTACAAGAGCAATCCAAATCCATACTTTCCCTTCATTCAGTTTGCAGCGGTTTTCTAAGTGGCGGTGGGCGGTGCCCGAGGACATCAGTGGAGGCATAGCCACACATGAAGCAAAACTAAACATTTTAAAATAGACTTTTTAGTTCTTGACTGTTTACTCAATATTGAGCAAAGAGGCCATTTAAATGCCCGTATCACTTTTTACTACCTCCAAAGTCTAATTAGTTGCATATTTCCCGTGACTACTTGGGTGTTCTTTTTCGAAAGGTAGACCACATGAAGTCAAACAGGATCTGCAGTGGAGCAGCGATATATTCTGATGTTTTAGGTGCAAAAGAGGACAAAGATGACACAACCACATAGCGCGGTGTGTGTCACGACAGGCTACAAAATGGCTTGTGTTGCGTTTATCTTCGGATTTGGGTTAGTCTCTCGTTATTGTCTCGCACCAGCCGTATGAGAGGGGAGATGAATGGTTGAGGCTGATAACATTCTTCTCATTTTTGTAAAGGTCCGCTGAACATAAAACATGACCTTTTGCATAGGATCATCTTCAACCTGGGAGGGACGTGGTCAGGCGCTGGGCTTAACGTAAAGTAAAGCAGATGAGCTATTACACAGGTGTCATGCTCCGGTCTTTAAGGGCTGCAAATTTCCCTCCTTCAACACACCTGATTCAAATCATCAGCTCATCAGCATGCTCTGCAGGAGCCTGCTAACGATACTAATCATTTGAATCAGGTGCTTTGGAAGAGGGAAACATCTAAAACGGGCATGATACCAGTCCTTGAGGATCGGAATGGATGTCGCTGAATTCACAGAGTGACTTTCGGACAATGGCGCGGCGGAGGACACTTAACACCGGATATTTGACTTTTCGGGATTCTTACACATTTTTTTGGGAGCAAACTCTCATTTCCACCAAGCAGTACATTGTAGCTTGCCATGTCAATGTTTACATTTTCATTGTGAAAGGTTATCGAGATACCACATTTTTCTGTCCTCCTGTGAGAGCACCAACCCAAAACTGAACTGCACCGCTTGGTGGAAACATTGGATGATGCCTGATGACAGACTGAAGGTTTCGAAGCTTAAACACAGTATAGAGTAATGAAAGGTTTGTGTTTGTTTTGGTTTTTTTAAACCTCTTAATGTGATGCTCAGCTGCAAAGTTCTTAGAACCATTTTAAAGTAAAATTGAGACTCAGATGAGAAAAAGATTTCAAGTTCTTGCAGATGGCGGTTAAAAAAAAAAAAAAAGGTGAAACCAGTCTGGTAATATAATATATAGGATGCAATGGCTTAGTAATTTTGTGTTGCCATAAAAATAGTATCAATAAATCTTGTTGGCATGCTTTTGAGTAAGGCTTACACAACCTGGCTTGCACATTCCACTTGAATGGAGGAGGTTACCGGTTTGTCTCAAGTGCAAAAGGGAAACTTTTGAAAAGTCATGCGGGAGCGTTATTCCAAGCCGGGAAAAGAAATATCAACTTCAGGTGATACGGTGCAATTGTTTTCATTTGCTCACAGAAGTCTTTCTTTGTCGGGAAAGCTTTGTTGTCCCAAAACCACATCGGTTGTGTGCAAACTGCAAACTGTACACGACGTTCCGTCCGCTCGATCCCTCCCGGTTCTGCTCCGTTCCATTGAGTGGGCCCGTTTTTAATTGACATATTCTCTAAGGCATTGCTCGTACAATCTTCGCCCGTCCTTGTGCTCTTCGGGGTACTTGCAAATTGCAGCGCAAATCCGTCACAAAGCAGTCACTTGGAAGAACCTGTCCCCAGAACCGCTCCGAGTTAATTGGGGTGGACAACGTGCATAAAAAGAAACAGAATAATCATCTCCCGCATTACATCCGATGCATTCTGAGGGTGTCCACTTTGGGCTTTGAGCTATTGGCTAGAAGAGAGAGGAGGAAATGCAATCGTCACTACCGTACTTATACTCCTCATATGTCTAAGTTAAAGGCTCTCATCAGAAGATCCAGGTCACCGATGTTTGCGGCCTGGAAGAGTTCAGGCTGATCCATCATGGACAAAGCTATCCTGAGAGCGGCCCAGATGTTTCCAGACATGACCTGGTGGGACTGCTGCCGACTCCGGCTTTTCCGCTGAAGGCTGAGAGCCGTCAGGAAGTTGCTGGCCGCCTCTCTGGGAAAACAAGTGCATTCACTCTGCTTTAATCGGGCTGCCTCATGGTCAAGTTTGATCCTCCAAGCGTTAGGATTAATAATGGGAAACCTCGAAGGGTGAACACAAACCGGTTTCGAATGCCAGTTGACGTCGGGTTTGTTTGGATTTTGAAAGGGTTTGGTCGTAAGAAATAGTGGGAATAGAATTCATCTATGTCACACTGTCACGACACTTCTACAAAGCATTTTTTTTTTCCTGAGCCGATTTAAAGATTTAAAACTTTGTCGATATACACTAAAGTCCTCCCAGATATTGTTCACAAATCTGTCTAAATCTGTTATTGAGAACATTACCTTGGTTGAGATACACCTGTGTGCATTGACCCTAATGTCCAATACACTATAACGGCCCAAACCACAACGTTGACATCAGCAAAACGGACAGCCATACGGCGACGTATAAGATGTCCATCATGAGCCCTCGACAGTGAAAACCAGGATTTATCTGTGAAGGAAAAACACATCCCCAAAGTGCCAGACGCCATCGAATGTGAGCAATTGCTCACTCGAGTCTGCTCTGACGACAATCTGCAGTCAGGTCGAGACCCCGACGAGGACGGCGAGCATGCAGATGAGCTTGCCTGAGATGGTTTCTGACAGTTTGGACAAAAGTTATTTGGGTATGCAAACTGACTGCCGCAGCCGCTGTTCGACTGTTTCTTTGTCCCCGTTTCGCCCCAAATGGCATCATTCAACACTCCCGCCTCTGATCTTCATCGGAAACGCTTGCGAAACATCGGTTCACAACACGGCGTGTCTATTCTTCTCTGTTTTGGAGAGATCGGGTGTGATCACACAAGATTTCTGCCTCAGAGGACTTCAAGATCGATGGTGGGACAGAATCTTAATGTGTGTGCTGCTTTGTATTGAGATTGTAGATTGATAGACCACACACAATCTGATCCAAATTGTTAAACGTTCGATTTTCCAACTTCTGTGGGGTCTGTCATAAATTAAAAAAAACAAAAAAAAAACCACTTTTTAGGGTTACTGGTCTCAAGACAATCTTTGAAGTGAAGATGATGGATGTGGAGGTCTTCGACTGGTATGGTTAACTGTACAATCAAATTCTCGAAACGCTTTTGGAGAGGGCGTACGGAGAAATGAACATTCGATTCACAGCCAACAGCTTTTGTCGGCATTCCTGCAATCGGCATGCCAACATCTGTGGCATTGTGCATTCAGATAAAACTGCACAGATTCGTGTGGCCTTTTATTGTGTGAACAATATTTGGGAGGAATAGGCATTCTGTGTAAACAGGGAAAAGTTTTAGATCTTCTAATTTAACTCATGATGGAGGCAATATCAAGTATGCCATTTGTACTTTGGATCAGCATATTTTTCACCAAACTGAAAGTCTGCAAAATGTCCCCACTGCCTCTTGTCAACTTGCAAATCGTCTGCCATAAGAGGCATTCGAATTTTTTGGTGATTATGCTTTCATTTCTCCAATTCTTTTTTATAGGGCCAATCATTGCACCACACAGCTCAAATTTGAATGGAAACTGTTTCATAGCCGGTGAAGATTGTGAGACCTAACTGAGTTTTGTTTCCTTCGTTAAAACTAGATGGTAGGCTAACTTAAAACAGCAAAAGTCTTATTTCATGGTGCCCCTGAATCCCGATGCTTCCCTGATGACTTCGTTGCTCATTATATTGTTGCTGGGGTTTGGTTACTTGGTGAGCAATGGCATCCAGACAGAGATGCCTGCATCATGGATGTCTGACTCATTGGCATTTGTGGTGTAGCTGGGAGATCTTTTGTCCACTTTTCACAAAAAGGCTACTTCATTATCTCCCTCTAGCTGTTCACGTGAGGGTTTCAAAAATACAACAATCTCTAAATAGACACTGCATATGCTCACAAATATTCGTTAACACCATGCTGGCGTTTGTTTTTATTGTTCTGTTGGATTCGGTGTGGTCACTCCCGAGTCTGTGATGTGTGTTCTTCATAAGGACAAGGCGGACCTGAGCATTTTATTACTTTTGTCGGATTTGTCTGGCAGGGACGATGACTCGCCTAACGCTCCAAGGATTCAACTTTCTCTCGCTCAAACTTGTTTTTTTTTTTCCTCCCTAATTCCAGCCCCGAAGCAGTCGCACTCATTCACCTGTGCGCGCCGAGGTTAATGCAGCTGATTCCCAGGTTGTAGCGGGACCTGATAAATCCCGGCTGCAGCTCCAAAGCTCGCGTGTACGCCTCCACGGCCTCCTGGCTCCGGTCTCCGTTTGCCAGAGTGGCCCCTAGCCGGTTCCACAGCAAGTAATCCTGAGTGAAATAGAAGACCTTTTTAAGTCCTGAGAGCGGAATGATCTGCTTTGGAACAAAACAAGCAGCCTGATTTTTGCTGTGAAAAAGTGACGAAAATGTCAACGTCAGCTCCTTGCTAAACTAACAAGGGTAATTTAGGACGAGCTCAGTTACATCACTCAAGGTGTCCTTGTGCTTTGTTTGCCACCTGCCGGCGCCTGCGCACGTACACGCACGCACACAAACACACACACACAAACACACACACACACACACACACACACACACACACACACACACACACACACACGCACAGATAGAGGTCATGGTCAACGACAGTACAGGGGCCTTTTATCTAAGGTTGAGCCTTGCGGTGGGGATATAATTATCTTCCTTTGTGTTCAGAGCTAGTTTTGCAGCAGGGGGGCAGATATTACCAAGTCAAATGTGGGAGGGTGGATTTAACGGTGAGTAATGTTCATGCCGACTTGGGACGTGGTGGGGGAGGACAGACGCTCATTTGCATCAAGCGGATGCGGACACATTTTGATGCTTTCGTTGTGTTTTGTGTGAATGAGCGCCGAGCACCTCTGCAACTTTCCGCTCACACTTCTTTTGGCTTGGGCTTTCGACTGAAGTCTCGGGATTAGCCTAAAATGCAGTGTCACCTTTACAGTTCCAATGAGTTAAACCTTCTCTAAACTTTGAAATTCGGCCTTCGCAAGTCCAGTTGTTGAGCGCTGTAGCACTTTTTGCACAACATGCTGTTTTCTAACACGGAGCTGAATGGCAAAATGTTGTTTAAGAAGGTCGCAAGCACATTTCCTTGCCCTGTGTAAGGTGTTGTGATGTGCAATCGCGTTGAAGGAAGATACATGCCGACGTGCAATTGTTTCCTGTGCCCTGATGCATAGATATCATGCTGTAAGATAAGGATGTAAGACTCGGGGCTGCCACATTTTTTTTTTCGTGTTTAGAATTACTGTAGCGTCCATGCAAATTTTGTATGAGCCCATCTAGGACATTTTGCAATAAGCCAGTGTTTTACAGTAAACTTCAACTGTTAAAAGACACCCAATTATTATTATTTTTTGCCTCTTAGCTGAGTTGCTCGTTCTCTGTTGAACTTCACACAGCCACTTACAAAAATACAGAGACGACATAGAGAGGATTTGTACCGTTTTTGACAGGGAGATATCTTGGCACTGTTTTGATACTGGTGTGATCACATGACAGAATCGACTGGAACATGAACCATTTCTGAAGATGCCATCTTTTCATAACAAAAGATCTTTAGTCATGGACAGTGAAGTTGTTTACTTACCACATGTAGTAAGTGTGCACATCTTAATCCATTTGAGAGACTGTTTCTATGCTTCTTTTACCTTGATGGTAAAAAGCTATGGGTCTATTTTAGGGTTGCATATCATTGTCTCAGTGGACAACCGAACCGGTGACAAATCGGGACCCGGCATCTCATAGAGGGATGGCGTGCTTTGTATATTCACACAATTTCCTCTGTCAATAAATTCGGATTGTTACTTAAGCGAGCCTGATGAATGTTCGCTACTAGTTATAACCAAAGAGTAGCCATGCAGATGAATATACAATCTAATGTCTTTTTCCTCAAGCAAATAAGCGAGAGTGTGTAGCTGCGATACCTCGGGCCGCACTGACAAGGCCGTGTTGAAAGCATCCACCGCTTTGTTGAACTCGCTGCTGAGGTTGTAGAGCACCCCGAGGCCCGTCTGCAAGTCTGGGTCAACGGTGTCCGAGTTGTGCTGGACTGCTTCCAGGAAGAGTTCCTTGACCTCGGGTAACATGGAGCTGGCGACATGTTCAGATGAGGATTAGGGCCACAGGGACAGTGAGTGTTGTTATTCTTTCGTCAAAGAGAGAATGATCAGGTTTTCCTCGTTGAAAGACTTTTTTTTTCTTTTCCCCTGCCGTGAGGCCCGGCATTACGAATGCATGGAAGATGGTGGTAAAATATAGAGTGGATAATTGCAGAGAGCAGTAAACCAGAAGGGTTAAAATAAAAAAAAAGGAGGATGGAGGGCAGGAGCAGAAAGAAGAGAATAGGGAAGATCCGGCATGGATTAGCGGGAATATCACTGTAATTAGGATGTACCTGCATCTCTTCACTCTGACTAGACGATTAATGATTTGATAGAGTGCCCCTTTTTCTCGGCAGAAGAATTAAGCCTTCTCTATCTGATGTTCAAAGCTTAAAACCGTATTTTTAAAAGCTTAAGATAGAAGCGTCTCTCCTTAAAGCGGGGCTTCAGAGTGGCTTGGCGAAGAGGGCACCGTTGTCAAGATATAGTGAAAGAATGAAAGCACCAGCTGTGGTTCACAGAGCTCGCTCGTTCTAGCGCTCTAACGCACTTCACGGATGTTGGGAGTAAAACAAATGAGCTTGGTGAACACATGATATAATGTAGGGGTGTCAAACTCATTTATGGCCCGGGCCACATTTTAGTTACCGTTTGACTTGGAAGGCCGTTATGACTGAAACCATATAAAAGGTCACGCATAACTGTTGATTCAACTATTGTTTAAGTTACTATCATGAGGGGTTTGGTAACAAGAAAATACTTGGAATATATCTCTTATTTATTACATATGATAATTTTAAATATTGGTAGACATTTTAGAAAGGGTCATGGAGGTTGACATGTTTGAGCTGCTTTCGCGGGCCACATAATATGAGGTGGCGGGCCAGATCTGGCCCCCAGGCCTTGTGTTTGACACCTGTGACATAATGTATGATGTGGAGAAAAAAATGGAGAGACCTACCCTAAAACAAACAAAAAAAAAAAGCCACCATTTTGTTGAATACCTTTCATGCCTGCCACTGCTGGGTGCATGGGACATCCTGCGCTGGGAGTTTGGGGATCCCACAAGATGGTTTTTGCCCTTCAGGAGCTGTTTGTATTTCGGATTGTGTCGAAGCCAGCGCAGCAGAGCCTCGCAGGCGTCGTAACGCATCCCCGTGTTGGTCAGGCTCACCGCCAAGGCCATGAGGGCCGGGAGGTTGTTCGGGTGGAGCTCCAAACACCTGAAAGAAGACGGGAGTGGCTGAGGTTGACTGTGGTAATTTATCGTCCTCGGATAAAAGTGCTTCGAAAGCGTTGTTGTTTCTGATGCCGTAAAACAGATGAAGCAGAGTTGTTTTGGACGAATGTCGTGGATTAGTTTAAAAAGCAAGAGAGGGGCCAAAAATAAGATTTAGCAAGATAAACACATGTGCCAAACTCTTAATCTCTGTTAATCTCAAATAAATTATTTCACCCCAGAGTATTGAAGGTGAGGGTTACATAAAGTTAAAGTCACAACACTCAAATCCCCAGCGCGTGCAAAAATGATCCCTCTTCTTTTTTCATCATGCAGAAACAAATGCAACAGCTTTGAAGTCCGAAGCAAATGTTCTATTTAAAAATGGACAGACACAAACGGAATAATTACAGGATGCGGACCACCCGAAGTGTTGCCAGTGTGGCTCCAACAGGACTAAAGCCAGGTAAAATATCTCATCTCACTTCATACCAAAACATTGTGCACACAGATGGCAGCTGTTACATAACAACAACAACACAATGTGGATTGAAGCGCCTCATATTTGACTGGTAACTGTCTGCAGGATTAAGTGCAAAAATGGTCTCTCGAGTAATCGCATTTGCTTGGAAAAGCAAAGATTAATTTTTTTCCCGTGCATTCAATTGCACAGAAAAGTTGACACTGAATGAAAGTCTTGTCATTATTTCAATTGTTGAATTCTTGTTGATTTCTGTGGATTGCAGAGACATTTCTGCTTACAAAACTACAAATCGGTGGTCCACACTGCTCCTTTAGACTTGGCTTGTGTGGATAAGATCATATTTTACGTGTGTGTGTGTGTGTGTGTGTGTGTGTGTGTGTGTGTGTGTGTGTGTGTGTGTGTGTGTGTGTGTGTGTG